AAAAAAAAAAAAAAAAAAAGTAGCTTTATATGCCAGGCACTGTGTCTCACGCCTGTAATCACAGGACTTTGGGAGGCTAAGGTGGGTGGATCACCTGAGGCCAGGAGTTAGAGACCAACCTGGACAACATCAGGAGATTCCTCCCCTCTGTCTTTACAAAAAATTTAAAGATTAGCTGGGGATGGCGGCGTGTGCCTGTAGTCCCAGCTACTCAGGAGGCTGAGGTGGGAGGATCACTTGAACCCAGGAAGTCAAGAATGCAGTGAGCTGTGATTGCACCACCACACTCCAGCCTGGGTGACAGGGCCAGACCCTGCCTCAATAATAATAATAATAAATTAAATAAAATTGAGAAACTCAATTTAATTGCTTGTTATTTATTTTTAATGATGGTGTTAAGCCACCTCTTGGGAATTCATTCACTATCGTGTGTTCTTTTCCCTTCCTTATCCTCACTTCCTGACTCACCTTACACACTTCCTCCTACACCAGGAAGCCCTGCCTTCCTGACCCATGGCTAGTCAAGCCCTTCCTTCAGGCTCCCAAAACCTCCTGCATACTCCACATCCCAGCCCCGACCCCTCTGCCTGTGCCCTCCCTACCACAGCCCTGACCATTTCTGATGCCATGTCTGTGAGCCCGGTGAGGTCAGGGCCCAGAGATATCTCAGTCATTCCCGTCTCCAGCCCTGCCTAGCCCAGGGCCTGACCCCTCTGCCTGCCCCCACCCACCCCCTATCCTGGCCCTGATCCCTCTGCCTGGGACCCAACCCAACTGCAACCCTTCAGCCTGGGCCTCCCCTTCCTGGCCCTGATCCCTTGCAGTGATGGGTCTGTCTTCCCAGTGGGCTCCCTTGATCATCACTGGGCTCTTGGCATCACTCAGCAGAGGGAGATGCTTGGGAAATAAATGAATGTGGAACCTGGCTGGGCACCATGGCTCAGCACTCTGGGAGTAATCCCAGCACTCTGGGAGACTATAGCCAGTGGATCACTTGAGGCCAGGAGTTCAAGACCAGCCTGGCCAACATGGTGAAACCCCATCTCTACTAAAAATACAAAAATTAGCTGGATGTGATGGTGGGTGCCCATAATCCCAGTTACTTGGGAGGCTGAGGCAGGAGAATTGCTTAAACCTGGGAGGCAGAGAGTGCAGTGAGCCAGAATCACGCCACTGTACTCCAGCCTGGGCGACAGAGCAAGACTTCATCTCAAAAAGAAAAAATAGGCCAGGCCTGGTGGCTCACGCCTGTAATCCCAGTACTTTGGGAGGTTGAGGCGGGCAGATCACAAGGTCAGGAGATCGAGACCATCCTGGCTAACACGGTGAAACCCTGTCTCTACTAAAATATTAAAAAATTAGCCGGGTGTGGTGGCGGACACCTGTAGTCCCAGCTACTCGGGAGGCTGAGGCAGGAGAATGGCGTGAATCCAGGAGGTGGAGCTTGCAGTGAGCCAAGACTGCACCGCTGCACTCCAGCCTGGGCGACAGAGCGAGACTCAGTCTCAAAA